AGCTCTAAATCATCTTTGAGGTCATGTAGTCATGTAATGACATTATTGAGCTAGTAGTGGTAATCACTGTGTCACTTATATTCAGTACCACCATGGCTGCTCCTTTAGTGAGCATGTATCGACTCAAAGTTGAAAATTGCCTGAGTAAAAGAGTCTGAGTGCTGTTTTATCGAAGAGACAGCACAGGGGTAATGAACTGAAAAAACATTGGCACCGTTCGCTGCTCACTACATTACTGACCACACATCACTTGTTCAAGGAGCCACAGGGCTCAGCTCTCACTCCCAATTACCCACTGTAGAATAGATGAAAGAGAAAACCAAACAAACTAGGTCCAAAACACACGTCCGCTGTCCCACTCAGAAATTCCCTGAAAACACACTGCAGGGAATCCAAGAATCAAGGCAGCAGAAAATTGCCCCCAATGTACGTCCTCAATAAAACATGCAGACTGGCATGTATATTTCAGAGGGCAGCGAGAATTAGCCCACATTCAAGAGACAGCTGCAACCCCACACACCCAAACATAACCCAGACAGAGGTTTAGTTTGGACGAAAACACATGCATTTTGTAAAGCAGCAACACCTGCTACAGACACACGTTCACAAACTGAAATACACATAATTCAAAGGCAGAACACATATTTGTGCACATATATCCACATGTTCAATCCCACATAAATATACATATAAGTCTAAGATTTAGAGACGACGAAGCGCCATTAGTAACTCACCAGCTAAACTCAGTTTGCCATCTGCCCTCGATGATTCCTCTGTTTTCACCCTCTGTCTGAAATCTCTGTAGATCCTTTCATCTCTTGCTGTGCGACACAAGCATAAATACAAAAAGCAGAGTCCAACCTAGTCTAACACTGAGCCACCAACAGGCTGTCTGAGGAGCCTGGATGTTTTAGTAGCGCTCTGAGGGAGACAGCATGAATCTGCTACCGCTACTACCCCTGTTCCCTCATCAACTCTAACCAACACCACGCTGCTTCTCTCTCTCTCTCTCTCTCTCTCTCTCTCTCCCCTCCTCCTCCTCCCCTCTTCCTCCTCCTCTTCCTCCTCCCCTCACCCTCTACAAACGCACTGTCACTGCCCCAAAAAAAAAAGGGCTCCTCCTGTCCTGCGCTCTCCCCGTCCTGATCCCCGCACCATTCAGAGCAGCGGACTAACAATGCCTCCGCTGCCGCCACTCTGAAAGGAACCCAGGAGCAGATCTCAGCCGGCAATAATGCCGCCCAACTGTCACCATGGAAACTAATGACGGCCCATAGGAGGGAGGGAGAAAGGTTGGGGGGGTGGGGGGGTGGAAGGGAGAGTTAAGTGAGAGAGAGAAGAGTGGAGGAGGGAGCGAGGAAAAGAAGTGGCTGAATGAAAGATGGGGGAAGTGTGTGTAAGCATCAGTGAGTGTGCCTGCGTAGTTGTTGCATGAGTGTGTGTGAGAGGATATGAGTGGACTGGAGAGGAGGGACAGTTTTGGAGGAAAGAAACATCTCTTTAAGCCTGAAACTAATTATTCTCATTATCGATTAATTGTTTATTCTGTAAAACATCAGAAATGGCCAATTACAATTTCCTTCAATTTGACGGTGTTGACAGAATGGCAGCAAATACTCGCATTTTAAGATGGAGAAACTTGCAAATGTTTGCATTTTATTTTCTCTTTTAAATGACAAAATCAATTACCAACATGGCTGCTGATTATTTTTCTACTGCTTGACCAGTCAGTCTTACCTGTAAATAACTTGGATTTCTAATCTGTAAATTATTATATAAAAACAGAGATAGTCAGCAAATCTAAACCACATGAATGCTTGTTAGTTAACTCAAACAAAATTGTTACTGAGTTGTTTTTGTGTCAGCTGCCTAATCGACTGATCATTTCACCACTAGTTCCTCCCTAAAAAATAATTTGTATTTCTGATGTGTCTAAATAATAAATGTTGCTGTATCCCTTGGGGAGCCACTTTACCACAAGTCTCTGTGGAGTACATTCGTATCTCTGTGCGACGTCCCCCCACAGACATGTGGATTACAAAAGCTGCCAGGATGACGCGCCCAAGCTGCTCCAACCCTCTTCATATGCACATATAATTAAAACAACCCCCCTTTGCTGTCCATATCTCTCGGTGTTCCCCCTCTTCCCACTCAATACTTGGGAGTGACATCGGCCTGAAAGACAGGGTGACATTGCCCGACACCGGGTATGAACCCACAGACGAATGCCACCAATAACCATGGAAACACTGCTGGATATATCCCCAGTTCCTAAAGGAAACAGGGCTTTTTAAGCAGGGTGTGAAGAGAGGAGCGGAAGAGAGGGAGAATGTAAAGGGGGGGATGGGTGGCTGTGTTTCGATTTAGATTCAGGAAACGCAGGAGCTTTAAATTTTGAGACGAGCTGAGAGTGGCTTGGAGTGGGTTAAAATGGCCCACAATTGATCCTCTTGTCCTCATCTTGAAGCTGCAACAATAACAACATCCACACAAGAGGCCACCTCTTGCTGAAATTCTCAACAGTGAATTATGCATCACACTGGACTGGGGGAACAGGTGCGGCTCTCCACGGCAATAAAGCTGGCTGCTCAACCCAGCAGACCCGCCGAGGTGTAATATTCTCACATGAGGAAAAGAAGAGATATAGAATCAGTGCTGCAGCCACCCCGGAGGGCAATCCAAATAAGAGGGAAAAACCAATGTCAAATAAGAATAGGGCCTCGCCTTTGTGGGTTATCTAATGAGGCATGGTGCTCGTGCCCCCTCTTTACACCAAAGAGAGGAATGTGAGCTGTGGGTTACGGAGGAATGCTGAACCTCTCGCCATCTTGTTACCTCTTTTTAGCTTACGTAAGGTGGAGATCGCTGCTCAAAGAAGAACTCTGCTTTAAAAGGGGGCAACAGAGATGCAGTCACTGACAGGGACTAGAGATAAACAGAGGCAATGCAAGCTGGCACGGTTCTACTGCCCTTCACCCTTTACCACTCTCACTAATTACAACAATGATCTCTTTCCATCTGTCCGCACAGAAGAAACTTTGTGTGATTATTCAGTGTGTCACATACAAACCCACTGCAATATTGAACACTAACTAGCCCAAATCTTCCTCACTCAACTGACCTAAGGAGGGCATCTGTCACACATCTTCCCAATGGGATCATCAACCACACACACACTCCCATCAAACATGTCAGACAGTTCCAAAGGGATAGAAAATACCACTTATTTTCTCATTTTTTTATCAGAAAAAAAAAGATGTTTCGGTCAGACAATGAGACAGGGCCAAAAAATCTTGTGTCTATGTTTACCCTTCAGTCTATGCATTATACTGTCCAGAAACTGAAACATACGATGCCATGGTTCACCACCCGCCGAGACTCCACTGCTCTGCAACAAATGCAGAGAGATACACATCAGTGCTGTTAACAATACGCGAAACACTGCATCAATGTCGTTTGAATGCCTGCCAAAGTCCTGTCAACAGGCTTTCAAAGGACTGTGCTGGATTTCATCTGCACAAACACACTTTTTTTTTTCTCTTTATCAAGTCCTGGCCTACTGCAGTGACACTGAGGACTTAGCCCAGTTAGAGTCAGATGGGACCTGGTACAAAAATCTGCATAGATAAATAAGTATTTTTTTCCCTTTTTTCTTTTAAATATATCAGATCAATCAGTGAGCCGATGCCATAGCACACTTGATTTGGCTGCCTCGGCATGAACTCTGCAGATGAAAGCCGGAAGGAGGACACTGGGCTGTTGTCATGGAGACAATTCACATTCCACAGCATGTTGACCCAACTCCAGGATTTTCCCAAAAAGCCCTCACTCACACAGAAAGACAACACAGCCATGCATGCATATATAATAAATCTACACACTCACGCTCAGGCTGACAGACAGATACATACAGACAGACAGACAGACAGACAGACAGACAGACAGACAGAAAGACAGACACAATAGACAGATATCTACAAGCTTAAGATGGGAAAATGAATAACTTTTACATCCATAGGTCTCTGAAGGTCCCGGGGTGCCAACAAGACACAACATCCAGACAAACCTCAGCAGAAGACGGTCAAAGAAGGACACTGTTAACGCAGCTTGAGTCTTCCACTGTTAGTGACACACATTCATGTTGACTCACTGAGCCCGCGGATCAGCTTTCTCCGAGGGGAATTGCATTCACAAAGATTCAATACAGGGATCACTTAGAGCTTTTAGAAGGAAATATGGTTAGATTATAGTTAGGAATGAAGACAGGTGTTCTTATGTGTCCGGTTTAATTGGTATGTCTCGTTTATCCTTTAATAAAAGCATCTTTAATGGCCATTCCCAAATATCTGCCTGCTCAGATATTGCCCCCGACAGCCACCTTCACCTTAACCTTAAGAAATCAAAGAGATGCTTTAAATCAT